TTATAGTTTATATTTTCTTAATTTAGATGTAATAATAGTTAATTTTTTTCTGATTTTTAATTTTTTGCAAATGGATGGGAGAAGGCTGGCTATTTCTGAAGCAGTGAAAATGCTAAACGAATTGCCTTCAGATAGTGAATCCAATACGGATCCCGGTACCTGTGCAAAACATGTAGTGTTAGGTTGTTGTTTCAAAGGTGGTGTCACTTGCTTCAGAAAGTACCACCATGAAAAAAATAGATGAAAGTGTAAATATGAAATGTAAATATCATATAGCCAAGTTACCTTTTTACTTCCTTTCGTGAAGTAAAGGGAGTATTTTTTCATTTATATGCATATGATCATCATATAACCAAAGAGAGCTTTTTGACAGGTGTAGAGTAGCAGTCCTCTCCATAGTGCACCCTGGGTAATGCTAAATCTGCTATGGGACTCGGAATCTAGTGTTTTTTAAATCGTAGGCAAAATGTTTTACTCTATTTCATGCTTCCTAATGATGCTCGCTTCAGCACTCTTTTCGAAGCTCTATTCATACTGTGAGCCCGCTTCAGGCACACCCACAGAATTAAAATGGTAAGTGCTATCTCTACAAAATTTTACTTGTGTGTGTCTTTAGGCCTGACTAGACTGTCTACATTTTTTTCTAATTGAAATTCTGACTTTAAAAGGTAGCATGCCAAAAGGGGTTAAATAGCATGAAAGTTTCTTGGTATTATTGTCAACTGCAATTATTACTTCAATTTTGCTTTTCTCTTTAGTATTTGAAAACAATTTTATACATAAATTTTGAATATATTCTTTTCATAGAGCCCAATGCTTTAAATAATTATACCATTATTATTCTAAATTTTATATACTAAGTATATATATCAAAACTTATCTAAATAATAATAATAATGACAAAAAGAAATAATTCCATTTTATATATATTTTCTGTCTGAAATATTAAGGGTGGCATTTGCAGGTAAAATTTCCATGGGTTAAACTCTGGAATTCAAATGTATTGAATGTTAAATATTAAATTTTCAGACTGACATTTATTACATTTATTTCAAATCTAATTTGTTTAATTATGAAATAAATAACTTAAATAAACAAAATACGAAAACTTTCCAAGTTGGGCAAAAGAATAAATTATGACAACCCATTTTGATTCTTTTATTTACTAAATTTTTCTTACAGGAATCCATAGGAAATTTTTAGAAAATCCATAAAAAATTTATTTTGATAAAGTTTGTTAGAAAAAGTTTATTGAAAACTACCTTCATCACAAATTGTAGATGCTGATTGGTCAACCTGGTTCTTTTCTTCGACTTATTAATTTTCAACAGTGGACGAAATAAATTGTTTTCATATTAAAATGTACTCCCAGATGATGTGATTACTCCTATTGCAGAAATTCATAACTGAGAGTATTTATCGTTTGACAAGTAGGTTTTCTGAGGTGTTACTCACGCTTGTTTTTAATGGTAAAAAAAAAAAAAAAAAAAAAAAAAGAGAATGTAGAATTGGACTCCCAATCATTAAAATCTTAAATTTTTTCCCTTCAAATTCTTGTAATAATTAATATCATAATAACGCTAATTAATTTAAGGTGATGCTATAGTATGGGGCCTAACAGTCTGCTTTTAGTCAGCATGGTGTGTGGTCCGCTGATCTCTTTTTAGTATAGTGTATGGTCCATCAATAAAAAATGGTATAAAACACAAAAATATATAGTTCTTTCTAGAAAATTTATCAAAAAATGAAATAAATAGTTGCCAAACCTTATTGCATTAATACCATTTATATACGTACACATCTCAAAGCACATTTATTTAAAAAAATAACAATTAGGGTAGTAGTAGTAGTAGAAAAAAATATCTAAGAAAGGTTTTATGTGAAGCTTTTACATCTCTTAAAAAGGCTGCAAGAGAAATGGTCTAGGTGAGACTGAAAATGGCTATTTGGCATACCTCTGATTTTCTTTAATGTGCACACTTTTGCATCAAGTCAAAATCTTTCAGTCAATTGTGTGTGTACTTTGTTGTTGGATTAACTTTCTTGAGATTAACACTTAGAGGATAGTAATCTACTCCTGTTAAATTCGTGTAGGCTGGCCATTCATCACAATATATAACTGATCCAGCGGCAACTTCATGCTGTACTATTGATATTAAGATAGCTGTATATCGATGCTGCACATAAAAGTATTAAGTCCAAACACTCCTTTAGACCAAATAACCATGGACCATCAATTTATGTGCTGTGGTTTCTGTTATTGGGAATGTTGGTGTTGCTGGCATATTCACAAAGCCTACAGACCATTTCTCTACGGGCTGCTATCATTGGAGGAAACATCTGCTTAGTGGTCATATTTGGAATGGCGAGTTATCGCCCTGTAGGCGTAGTAATTAATGCAAAACAAACGTTATTTCATTCAATATTTTTTTAGTTTATGAATGAAAGCTTAGAGGAATTGTGTGGAATATATTTTAAATAACCTACTGATCTTATTAATAGTTTATTTGTATTTGAATTTAAACTTTTAAAAGTACATAATTGTTTTACAAGGAAAAGGTGTTTACATCGAGATAGCATATGCACTTTTTCGTCATTTCTGTTGTGTAAATTTCCATAGCGCATTCATTTATACAAATAAAGGAATATTAAAAAATTAACCAAAGGAAAACATTCAGTAAACATTTAAGGGCATCAGATATCTATTCTTTTTACCTAAATTATGAGTAAGTATAACTATACTTACTCATAATTTGGTAAAAAGAATAGATATCTGACGCCATTTTTTATTCCATTATGCACTATTTCTATTGAAATGCTTTTCAGGATATTGAATAGTAATCTTGCTACTGGTACCTACTACAAAGAGTACAAACCAATAAATAAAAATAAGAAAAATTAAAATTAACAAAAATAGAAAAAATTAAGGCGTTTAATTTTTTAAACCACACCCGAAGGCGAAAAGACAAAGTCATTCAATAAAGTTATAAATAAATCCATGCAAAGCAGAGTTTATGAAAGCTATGAGCGGGGATAGAACTGGCGATCTAGAAGCCTGAGAGTTTTTCTCACGCTCGTTACCGCTGAGCTGCGGTTTCTCCGATGGATTATGCCCACTTTTTGGTACACGACGCTCAAATACAAATTGTAAAGGCGATGAACCAAAAGTTGCCAGCCAAGCACTAGATTCTGCAACCCTACGTTTCCTGTTTTAACCAATCGGAGCAAACAGCAACAGAAATGGTCTGTAGGCTTTGTAAATAAGCGTGTTGCTGTCTTCAGATAAGTTAGGTCTATCCCCCTTTAGAATTAGGCCTTGGTTATACTTTGTCTGACCTGCAAATCTACCTACCTACATCTGTTTTCATGGGACTCTCATCAGAACCTTGCATCTATGCAATGGAATTGTATATTTCACAGCACATATTAAACTAGTCAAAGATGGTATTTTGGAAGTCTAGTAAGAGTATCCATAGGGATCTCCTTGACAAAAATAGCACAAGCTTCAGGATTTTGCATACAGTCAGATTGAAATAAATCCTTATATTTATACCTGTGCAATGAAAACAAAGTTTCCTTTTTAAATGAATTGTCTGACATGGCAGACTTTCCAGAGGCTGTGGAAGACTCGTCTGCAATCTCCATCTCTATCCCATCACCTGCATATCACTACACACCAATGACAAGGTTCTGCACATCTGTGTTCTTCTAAAAGACCATGTTCTTATATAAAATATAGAGCAGTTTTTTCTCGTAAGGGATGCTGAAACCCAAAAATCTTCAAAAAAAAAAAATGGTGATATCAGATTTTTGCATTTTCAAATTCTCTTAACTTTTTATCTTTCCAAAAATACCATTCTTTAATCTATGAAAATTAGATCTGTAAAAAATGTAGTTTTAAATTGTCATCGAATGCTTTGATAAATGAGGGTTTTTACATAAAAACACGTTTTCCTCCAAACATGATTTTTTTATATTCGATGTACTTTTTTTCAGGAACTACTGCTCACAGGTATCTAAAATTTGTATGGCTTATTTAGTAGGTTTCCTAATAGTTACTGAAATGAGCTTTTTGTGATAAATGAAGAAAAAAAAAATTTAATTTTTTTTTGTGTTAGAAAATGTAAATTTTACTATAACCTAACAAAATATTCTGTAATATTCTGTATACCTAACAAAATATTCTGTAAATTACTCTAAAATTCAAAGTGTTTCAAAAGCTCATTTCAGTATAATCAGATAGGTATACTTGAATTACCCAAAATATTTCAAGCGTATCTACAGCAGATTTTGAGAAAAAGGTACATCAAACATGGCCAATTTAACATTGCCTGTATAGGGGTTTCTGATACTCCTTGTAAAACTCTTTTAATAGCATCATGAAAATTATGGCTTTATAAGTTATTTGAACAGCTTTAAACAAAGATGAAAGTAAGTACTACTCTGTGTTTCATTTCTTTTGTAAATACTGTGAGGTACCTAACAATTACATAACATAATTAGTAAAAACCATTAATAAAATTAATATTTATAAGTATTAAAAAAAGTTAGTGAACCATATGCTATAGTGGCACCAATTTATAAGAAATGTATTCATGGGCTGTTTGAAATTATCATGGTAGCTACAAGGTGGTCTATGAACCACCAGTCTGAGACTATTGCCATACCATCTATGAATCCCATTTCTTTTTATAAAACCTTGGTTGTAAATAATAAAATAAAAATTTAAATTACTTATTAGTTAGAAAGTTGCCAAAATGATTGAAATGCTGCAATAATGCAGAAAGAAAATACCTTGAACTGTAAATATAAGTGCATAGAAATCAAGTATTTTCTACTATTAGCAAAAGCACTTAGATAACTTTGATCGAGATGATGTGGCATATTATTTATATTTCATTTAAATAATCTCATACTTTGATGACATAATATATATGAATGTATTTAAACGTGATTTCATTCAATATTAAATTTATAATACTTCTTTTATGGTTTCATAGGGGCATTTATACTACTGGAGTAAGTATTGTAGGTGGTGGTGTTAAAGCTCCAAGGATAAGAACAAAGAATTTGGTGAGCATTATCTTTTGTGAGGCTGTGGCTATTTATGGAATCATCATGGCTATAGTTTTGGTCAATCAACTCAGAGTAAAGTTCCATTTATTATTTTATTTAAGGAATATTTTTCGTTTTCGTAATTTTATTATTGTTGTTACCATGTGGCAATTAAACTTACTTTTTTGTATTAGCCTTATCGACAGTACTTTTTTTTAATTAGGCATACAATCCAAATGACAAAGCACTGTTGGCTGATAACTTTATGTCAGGTACGTAAATAGATTTTGTTGTCTTAAAGTTGGGTTTGTTCAACTTTTGTATATATGGGATTGACTTTTTACTTGAAAATGTGTCAAGGTCTTAGTTAAAAAGTAGCCGTGGAAAAAAATACAGATTAAATTTTATTTTATCTTATTGCTAATGGAAAGTGTGTCTCCAGCTGTTCATAATTTGGTGTATATTCAGACAAAGATAATGATATTGAATCTTCAGTATGGGTAAAAAAAAACAATTTTTATAAGTACCTAGATCCAAAATAAGAGTTCTTATATTTATAAATAAGATATTCTTATATTTAGTGATATTGGGATACTTTTCTTAACTCTTGCATTCCCAGAAATCTTCAAATTGTTTGGCTTGTAAGCTAAGTAATTTGTAGAGCTTTTAATTTTATTTTGTATATTCATAATTATATTTTTAAAGGTTTCTGATCTTATAGCAAATAGAGATGGAATTACCGTGAGAATTATTAGAAATACTTGAAAGTGATGAAGATAGGAATATTTTCTGCACTGTTTGGGTTTCGGAAAAAAATAAAATAAAATAAAATAAAACATTAATTTATGTTCCTAAAAAAAGAAAAAACTGTTCTAACATTGCATAATGATGATGCTATAGGTGATACTACTGGAGAAAAGAAAATGCGAGAAATTATATATTTTTATAATATGACTAAGGGTGCAGTGGACACTGGATGAAATAGCAGAAAGTTTTTCAATTGCCATAATAAAAAGGAGGTGGGCAATGCTAACTTTTGAATTATATTACTTTCAATTGCTACTCCACCAGCAAGATGCTGAAGTAGATGTCTGTTTTTGAGGGACATAGCTTTACAGTTAATAAAAAAAACTACTGAACAACGATCAAAGATTAATACTTTATCGAGAGACTTACGTACTGCATGCAAAAGAAGAGCAGAAGTTTCGACGAATATATCAAATGCGAAACAACTAAGTGTAAAAGATGTGATGAAGTTTTTTTTTTTTTTTTGCCCTCGAGCCAGGGACATCATCGAGACAGGTTCATTTGAAACATCGCACAAATGCGATGTTTAAAATGAGAACATTCTGTGCCAAGAACACATGAATGTATTGTATTAAAAGTGTAAACAGATCCAAGGTTCGTAGCGGTCCTTATAAGTGCTTATAAGTCCTTATATTTGAAAATAAAATATAAAGGCCCTTATAGGTGCTTACTTTTTTTTTAAAGCCCTTATTTTTTTGTTTTTAGTGCTTATTTTTTGCTTTTAGTGCTTTTTTTTTAATCCTATGTTTTTAATGAACGCGCATTCCCCGTACCAAAGCCGAAACTAAATAAACAACTTTTCTTCCTTATATGCAACGTCAGATGGTGAATCATACTCCCGAAAATTGCTTTCCCCCCCTTCTCTGCATTAACGTAACCTATGGTGTGCGCGAGAGTACAGACAGGTGCACTTCGTTCTATTGGCCAAAGAACTGCGAAAACGTAGAAAATTCCGGTACATTCTGTTTTCTTTTCCTCCCACCCAAATTCTACACACGTTTGAATTTCTATCAAGATTTTAATAAATTTGCATTCCCGTTCCGGGTGGTCAGTTCATATTCGTGTTTATTATGATCGTTATACTTATATTATGAGCATATGTATGAATATTTGTAATAATATAATTGCAGTAACTGCTGAAGTATAGATAAACTTCCAAAAATGGGTGTGTTTTTACACAGATTAGCTTTCTAAGGAATAATATTCGGAATGGCTTAAATAAAAGGAAAGTAATTGAATAGTCAAAATAATTTCATTTTCTTTGCCAATACATTATACAGTACGGAGGTTGGGAGGTTCTCCCATTTCCGCAAAATCTCGACATTGAAACTGTTACAGTTCCCTGAAGCAGCGGACTTTTTTTTTTTTTTTTTTTTTTTTTGTTGTCACTGTCCGATCTGGATTGAATAGGACGAAAAGTTTTTGCGGTCTACCCAACCCAAGCGAAGATTGATTCTATTTCGGAAATTTAATACAGTCTGTTGAAAATTAGAATCAGAAACACCCCAGATTAGTAAGTCTCTTTCTTTTCCTTTATTTAGTTCTTTCTCCGAATACCGGCAGGTGTTGATTCCGATTGCGTAATATCACATACGGAAGAATTACGCCGCACGTATTGCGCAATAACGTTTGCGGTATTTTGCATTGGTAATTAATTTTGATGTTCAGTCTGAGATTTGTTTATGAACACTTAAAAGAGTTTTACTGTGCTTTCTAAGCAGAATATTTCTCAGTTCCATTGGTTTTTTTATATGATGCATACATCGAAATGTCAAAATCCTTATTTAGCCTAAAATTTAAATCTAAAGAACGGCTACAATCTATCCCCCACTCCTCTTTTTCCAGGAATTACTATCCGAAATTTTCAATATTCGGGAATTTCCGAGTATGCTGGTTTAGTTAAGCTTTTACTGTTAAAGGAATGACTTGAATGAAGCAATTTCCCGTCTTCTGATTTCAGAAATGTGCCTCATTTTTACTTAAATTACTTTGCTTGGGATATAGTATGTTAAGGGAAAACTGTTATGCAATGAAAATTTAGAAAATGTTCAGAATTTTGATTTAAGTTAAATTATTTAAATGTTAATAAGAGTGGAAAAATAAATTGTATTTATTATTAGGTGCCGAACGAATACAATTAATATAGCTTATTATTATTTATTTTCTATATTTTCAACTGAAATATCATCATTAAATTTTGTAATAAAGTTTAGTTCTGCATAGTTTTTTTCCTTCTCATTGTAAACTAGTTCTGTAAATTGAACTGTCATTTAAAATTAAAAAAAAAAGTTAATTGTTTTCCATTGTTGAGGGCTCATTCTCTTAATAAATATTGCATTGCTCATATTTTAAATTACAAGTCTAATTTTTCTTTTAAGGTTATGCAGGTGTGTATAATGTAATTAGACAGGTGCTTATTTTTTTCTTAAAATGTGCTTGAAAAGTGCTTATAGGTGCTTATTTTTTTAACTAATATGTGGCTATGAACCCTGAGATCAAATAAGGATTGTGTATTAAAGATGCAATAAGACCAAGGAAATTTATTATTTTCATTTATCTTAATTTTAACTCTCTATAAGCTGATTTTGGAAATTAATTTCTTGTAACCCAAGTATCATTCATGTGTTATAAAAGAAAATAAAGCTTTACAATTAAATAAAATTACCGTGTTTTAAATATTGGGGTATGTGATACCGCACTCTAGTAACTTTTCTTTATGCGTCTTCCGCCGGGTTAAATGTCAACTGACTCCTCATTTAATTAGTTATCTGCCAAACCTATTGTATCTAATAAACTGCTGGTTTCCTGACTGACTGCTCAACTGATGAATGTTATTTTCATATGGTGGTTGAAAATGCATTGATTCAAATTTTGCAAGCCAAAGAACACATTATACGGTTTGATTTTCGAATTACTATTACATGACTGTTGTGTGTGTACATATCCAACTCTTTGACATACTCTGTAATGTAATCTTAGTCTTTGGTTCTATGAGACATGTAAAAATATGAAATTATATTAAGAGTTCATGAACATTATGCAAGAGATTATAGCCATAATAATCTCTTTAAAACAAGAATAGCAAAAGTATAAACAGAGATAATTAAAGTGATACAGATCAATTAAAATTTTTCACTAATAAGAAATGTAATTTATCAAATAGGATATGTAATGTTTGGTGCTGGGGTTACTGTTGGTTTTTGCAACTTCTTCTGTGGTCTGTCAGTTGGAATAGTAGGTTCTGGAGCAGCCTTGGCTGATGCTGCTAATCCCACGTTATTCGTCAAAATTCTGATTGTGGAAATTTTTGCTAGTGCTATTGGACTATTTGGATTAATTGTTGCGATTATTATGGTAAGTAAATTTATAAATAAGTAAAGAATAGTTACTATCATTCAATTTTATGAAAAAAAATGTAAATAAGCTATAATTGTTTATATGTAAAGCTACTAAGTATTTTTAATTTATAATAGTTAATTTGAACTGTGGTATGATGACGTTGATACTTATGCATAATATTTTATTTCTCGCAGAATGCAAAAGTGAAAATGGGAGAAAAACCATCATGAATTCTTGATGTGCCGTTACTTTTCCAATACTCATTATTTATTCAAGTATATTAGATAACCTAGAAAATTTAAATGTCAGCATGTGATCATCTGTTGTGTATTTATTATCTCCTGTGATATATATTGTAGACTCTGGGGAAAATGTATCCATGCAGTTCATTTCAATGGGAGAAAAAAAAATCAACTGAATTCCATTTTATTATGGTGTATAAAATTTCCATGGCTATTGTATTGTGTGAAAATATGTCAGTCACAAAAATAAATTATTTAAATGTCAAGCTAATTATTGTTAAATATATTCTTACTTTTTTATTCATGACTTTTTATTAAATATTTATAGATAACATAGAAGCAAATATGGTAACAACAAAATCCAACTGAAAAATAATTATTTCAAATCATGAGAAATTTAATTTTGTCATTTAATGTTCCAATATGCATTTAATAATGAATTTTTTAAATATTTTTAATATTTAATAATTATTTTTGACATAAAAAAAGCTGATACATGCTGCAAAAAACTTAAATACAAAATAATTTCCAAACTTCTATGTTATGTTTCAACCTTTAATGTAATAAAGCATTTGTTTTATGTTACTCCTAGGAATATGCATCGTGGCATTTAGTATTATTTCTTTGAATTTAAGTTAGCATTTATATCATCAGTCAAACGTTCTGCATTAATGCAGTTACCAATGGAATGCTAGAAGGTGTTGCAGTCAAGTTCCAGAAAGATTCTTCGATGATTTTAAAGTGTTGTTTTTCTTTTATATTTATTAAAATAAATAGGTGGTCACTAGTCCATCAGATGCATGTTTGAAGTGAAATGTCTGTTGTATTTTAGTCCTTTTAGATTGGCAGAGACTCAGAACCTGATCTTTTGGGAAGTTGGACCTCCATCTCTAAGATCCTATATTGATCCCTCTGTGAGACTACTGAAATCCACTGCACTCAGCCTGAAAACCATCTTAGGATATTATTAAGGCACGTTTCCACTACTGCATATGAACACGTTGCAGCAGTTGAAGACACACCTATGGCATCCGTACAAGCATTTCCACTGACATGTATCCGTAGATTATTTTCATTTTCCGCCGCTAGGTCTTACTGTAATATTTTGTTCGTGAGTTACTACGCTGAACATCTGAATTTTTCCCGCTTAAGCGAGTATTGTCTGTTTTGGATTTGATATGGATCCTGACGTAAAACGCAGAAAAGTTTTGTTTCTTTTACTTTTAAAGAAATGAGAAGCAAAACGAGGCGGTTATTAGAAATATTTATTTCTGCTTATAAACTGCAAAAGTATGCTAGCAATTTTTAGATAAGTAAGGTTATAATGCATATTATGAACGTTTTTTGTGTCAAATTTCTTTGCATTTCTAGAAGCCTTAAATATTAATGAAATAATATATATATTATAACTAAAATGTACTGTTACTGAAAAAATAAATAAATAAAATAAAAAAGTTAAATGAATTAAAAAATAGTTGGTACTTTAACAAATACAGAGCAACTCTAAAGAAAGGTTCACAATATGTACACAAAATTTGCAATGCTTGTATACCGCTGACTGCCATGCGAGATTGTGTATTTTTAAAATATGCCCAAATTTGGAGAAAAAGCACGTAATATATAAAAATTTTAGCATTGATTTCTTAATTTTTAATTTCTTCAGGGTCATAGCTCGATAATTTATTAGAAATCTCGTTTGTTTTAAAATGCACTATGGCAGTTATATTTTATGCATAATTCATGAAATATTATTTTTAATTTAAAATTTTTAATTCATATTTCTTTTTATAGAAGAAGCTAAAAAAATAAGCTTTTCTCTTTATGTATGTATATACACACATTAGGTAAATAAAATAGAAATATTTATTTAATTCCTCAGCTTCTGCTGGAGAGGACTGAATTTAAAAGTAATTATTATAGTATTTTTTAAATGTTTAAGGCATTAATAATACTGTCTTATGTTAATTGTTGAGCTGGAAACATCCCAAAGTCTGAGCACATGAATGTATATTCACATAAAAGTGAAACGAAAAAATATATATATGTACAGGGTATGCTTAAAATTCGTATTATATAATTTTCAAAATTTTTTGCGGAAAAAAATGAGATAAATAAAAGCATAAATAAAACATATTTAATGCATATAAAAATAGAAATAAATTATAAAACACGAATATAGATCAAATTGGAACAAAAAGCTAAGAAAGTTGCAGGCAGGATGGAAAAAAGCGTATGAGATTCGAACTCACGACCCCAAAGGTTAAACCTCGTTACCGTCAGCTTTACCACTAAACTGGTGAATGAATGGTGTGCATATTTTGGCTTATACATATCATCAAGTAAATCAATTCTTAAAACTAAATTTTTTGGTCCTATTTCAGTTTGCTATCGTCTAAAAAATTCACCAGAGTTTCTTCTTCAGCTTCTAGTACATTTCTTACAAAAAATATTACCTTTTAAAGTGGCATTTCAATTGAAGTTAAACAGGCTGCTAAAAATATATTCCATTAATTACAAATTATATGTTAGCCAAAAGTATATTTATAAATAGAAAAATACAAATTTAACATACTCTCTCACAAACAAATAATTAGAATATTTAAAAGGCTATCAAATTTAATTTATAATTAACGCTTTTAGTTTTTACCTATTTCAAAAAAAAAAAAAAAAAAAAATCTTTTAATCATCATATATCTGATTTGCTGTAGCAGTTTGATATAGACAGACGTTCATTTTCATTAGGAGGTATAGGAAATAATTATCAGGACAAATTTTGCTATTTCATAGAGTTGGAATTATAATTTTTGCACCTGACTTTCTATCTGCAAACAAGTACTGTTATTGCAGTTATCTTATTTTTCTTATCTTTTTAAACTAAATTCAACTGATTGCTTTTTCAGCATGCGGATTTCTCACTATAATGTTAATTCAGAAATACATATTTTTTATAAAAGCATTCTTTCCCAAAGCGAGCATTCATTGCTACTTCTGCCGCCATTAATATTTAGTGATAACACCTCATTGCTCCTTTTTTACCACGTGACCCAAACGCATCCGCAGACGTACGGATAGAAGTTGAACATTGTTGAACACCATCCGTCACCGCACATCGACCGGACTGCAGATATCACTCAAAGTGAAGTCGATCGCTAATTGAAAAAATGCATACGCACTGCAACACACGCAGCAGTGGAAATAGGCCTTTAGTTGCATTCCTAAAGATGCTGTGCAGGTCTATACTGACGGTAGTTGTACAGATCGTACTCGTAGCGGTATTTTTATTAGGACCCCACATATCTATTCTGCTCAAATTGTGGAGAATCTCTCAGACCCATGACGTCCTCTGGCTCTTCACTTATTTATCAAGAATTACACTCAAATGACAGATCTAAACTCAATTTAATATGGCATGTTCCTCCTATGCACCAATGGTACACAAGACCATCCCCTTGCTCTCTGCTTGGAAATCAAATAGGACAGTGGCTCCCAGACTAGACTAAAAAGTAGCCATCTTAAATGTCTGATAGTGGCAGAAAAATCCACCTCACTTGAAAAAAGTGCTGTGACCATACAGCTTCAATGATCACATTCTGTGCTGTATTGGACTTTCCAGGGGGACTTAACATTGAATCCTGTTGTTATTACAGATTTTTTGGCAGTCTGGAGCTGATCTGACATATGTTAGATCTTCCGAGGATAAGCAACAAATACCATTTGTAAATACTATTAAGTAACTTAATATATTCATTGTAACTTTATATAGAGGCCATAATTATATTAACATATAAGCAAATCTTATTAAATTAAGCAGAAGTTTTATGCACCTGACAAAATACTGTTTCATCTGATCAGACATTTATTCTAATATAATGAAACTACTCAGATTAATCTTAAAACATGCATTGATATAAAAATCTATCGCAAATGGAAAGAATTTTTAACATACAAATTAATATATCCAGTGCCTCTAGGTATCTGTGAACTTACCAGATGATGTAAATTAAAGGTATTTAAGGATGTTTCTTATCTGTCTTTTATGAAGATGATTTATTATATCATGAAGCAAGAGCATCTGTATAATAAGCTTGAGTACAACGAAATATATTGAAATATTTTTCAAGCAAATTAAGTACTTATGCTCAAATGTAGGTAATTCTAGCTATAATAGTAGCTTTTGATTAAAAAAAAAAAAAAATAATCTACCAAAATCTGCAGTGCAATAAAGCTGATACAAATTGATATAAAATTTAGTCATTTTCAATCTAATTACAAATAGATGTCAAGCTTTTTTTTTTTTTTTTTTTTTTTTGGTTCTTCCGATCAACTGATTGCTCTTTTAAAGACAATTTTGAAGTAAATATTTACCTATAGTATTAATACTTAACAAATCTGTGCTTATGTATTATCACTCACTCATGAGATAGTTCTTAGGATTAGCATCCATTTATTGCAACATGTTCAATTAAGAACTGAGGAAGTGCTGTATTTCCAAGTGTAGAATAAGCAAAAAAATTCTTCCTTTGAATATAATATGCCTATGTAGATGAAAAATACTGCAACCTTTTTGTCTTGGTCCTACAAAAAAATCCTCTAATCAATGTATTAAACTTCTTTTCAACTTAATGAAGTTATGATTTCTTGATAAACAATAAATACCTTTAAAAATGACGTCTGACGATTTGCTTGGCAGCAGATGAAAAATGTGATACTCATAAAACTACTTTTGTACTAAAGCATTCAATATTATATAAAATGACTTTTTTTTTTAAAATTTTCCTAAATTGAATGTGGTATTTCCCCCCCCCCAATTCTATGAAGTTTCTTAATTGTTAAACTAATACCTTGTTGTGAGAATGTAACTTCATATCCCTTCATAGCATTAACACATGTCTATTTTTTTGGGGGGGGAGGTAATATTTTATTTCCAATGGCAAGGTACTTGACGTGACAATGAAATACATGAAGAAAAGAAGTTATCGACTCGTGCGCAGTCTTGCGAAACAATTTACTCAGTCTCAGATTTTCTACAAATTGCAATCCACTGCATAAGTCTATATCCATTATATGACTGCTGCATAGTCTACAGATTGGGCTTCAAAAGAATCAATTCTTTCAAAGAATAACAATGCGAAACAGGCGCACCGCCAAGCAGTTGTGTCCAGCAGTAGTCGCATAGCTGTAGGACGAGGACAGTCATGAATATTGTCCTGGAACCATGGATTCCTTTTTAGCCAACAGATTGGCTTGTTCATTATCTGTAGTAGGCTGGGATCTACTGATGG